GTGGTGGTGGTGGTGGTGGTGGTGGTGGTGGTGGTGATAATGGTGGCGATGGCCTGTGTGTTGTTTGAAGCTCAAAAACTTGTTTTTACGGAAACACAAATTTATAAAGCGATCCGTAAACAGCCCATCCTTATCCCCTCTTCTCTTCCTTCTCTGCAATGCCTTTCGCCCGTATCTCCTTCACTGTATTGGTTGTTGGTCCTCATCGCCCATTCCTATTCCTAAGCCTACTCCGTTAGACAAATTAATTTTCTTTTTGTCTTTTTTTAATTGCATTCTTCTTTGTTCCCCCCTTTGCTCAGTTGTGTGCTTGATCATATTTGTCCTACGGAGTAATGGTGATGACATTGCGTAAATACAAATACATACGCAAATTTACACACAAACACATCAACAAGGCAGCAAAATACGCAAATGGGAGGGAAGGGACGGGGGAGTGGTGAAGGAGAGAGGAAATGGAGGGCAAGAAGAGAACTAAATTGATACAAAGTTTGGGTTTCTTCTTGCAGGACTATTTTGTCTTCTTGATCTGTCGTTCTTCTGCAGGCAACCACTTGTCCCCAGTCTCTATTATTTGTTTATGTATTAGCTAGAAATACCGGATGTGTTTTAATCGGTTACAGATACTTATACTTCCTGCTGTTGTTGCTGTAGCTGCTACTGCTGCTACTACTACTGCTACGACTACTACTATTACTACTATTGTTTTGTTTGCTGTTGCCGGTGATTGTCGTTGTTGCTACTGCAACAATTAGTACTTCAGGTTTTTTTCTGCTTCTACTTGTTTTTGATTAATATTTTAAAAAACCTCATTGAATATTGTTTTTTTATTTCGTTTAACTTAATTCAATTAATAGGAAACTGTTGACTGAAAACAGCTTTCTTCCATCGTTCGTTGGTACTTTTTTTGTACATGATTAGACTAATGATTGGTACTTTTGTCAAGTGATGAATTACATTTTAGATTCTTTTTTTCATTGGTTTTTTTTTTTCACAGAGTTTTTTTAATCAGATAATTTTTAGGTGGATGAATGTATTTTAGAAAATAAAAAGAAGAAATAAAAAACAGTTTTTTTTCCAAATTTTCGCCTTTGGTATTTTATATGTGCGCATCTATCAACTGTAAAAGTTGTTTCCTCATTTTTAACTGTTATTAGGTTTTTTTGTGTTTTGAACAATCTTTTGTTTTGTTTTCTTTTTTT